GTGCTTCAGTAAGGCTGCTTTCTACATAAAGAGGCGGGCTGTTTGTAGTTGCTTATCCTGTTCCTCAAACTGACCACATACATGCTTTCAGGAAAAGAAGTGTTGATGCAGAATGTTAGCTGTTCGAAGTTATACTTCAGAGCATTTGACAATGCTTTAATAACATACAATGATATTATGTAATGACGCATCAAATCCTTTGTGTAAGTGTAACCCCTACCTGCACCTGTCACTTTAAGACAGTGCTAAATATCAAATAGGAAAATTAGGGTTTCTTTGATTCTAGATTCAATGAGGAGACTGCTGAGCTTTACCTGCCCAATTGTTGAATTAGACCTACAATATCTACCCCAAATAACACACACAACAACAGATTGACAATTTTAAAGGAGGTATATTAAACCCAGCAAATCCTAGATCCTTCACAACACAGTGTCTCAAAAGGTAAGTAAATTAAAGTGAATACTGCATTATAATACTTCAGTACCTCTATCATAAACTCAAAGTTGGATTCACAATACACAGTTCTTTTAAATACCTTTGTTTGATTTTATAACCAAAATAAAAAAAAGCACCTCTGAGATCTCAGGTATGAAAAAGGAAATTGTCCCAAAAGTTCAAATGAATAAAAAACTAAAAAGCAAAGGGAAAATATGAGTATGAGTGCACTCAAAGTCCTACCACCCTCTTCCACAGTGGATGTCCAAGGTGAGTATTGCAATGGGAAAGATATGGAGATGTGGATGTGGAAGACCCCTTTTCCAAAGGTGAGTAGCAACCAGGATGGAGATGCATATGGAGGACAGCAGAAGATGGTAGAGGAACCGAGGACTGAGGACCCAATGGAAGGACTCTAAAAAAAAACCCAGCCTACACAGCCAGGCAAAATAATTACTCATCTAGTCCATCTAAAAATGTCCATTTGGATATATTTAAATAAAGGTACTGCTTTACAATGTCCATTTTACTCTGTTTAACTCACAGTACACTTAACATGAATTCACATAAACATTTCATTTAACATTTAAACACTGTAAAACTAAGTTAATTCAACTCTGTTTGAGGAAACAGATTGCCCTAAATGCGTTTAGGTTTATTAACTCAAACAATTTAAGCATGAAAGATATTTGATTTGAGTAACTCAAATATTAATTGTTAAGGTAACTTGGGAAAATTAGGTTAATGTTAACAATTCCATTCAATTAATTGAATGTATCTGAATAAAGTCACTTTTAATTCATGTAATGGACTGACTGCATTTTCTGAGAGGATTAAGTTATGTTAACTTACTTCTTTGATCAAGGTGTGTTGTCAGGTTTTACAGTGTGTCTTTTTACACCCACAATCACACCTCTCTGAATTTATGTTAGATCATGCTTTAAGCCCATTCATGGTAATCCCTCAACAGTACAGATGCTTTGTCAGTCATATTCTCACAAAATAAACGGAAGAACTGGGGAGAAAGATTTTAAGATGCACAACTGAAATGCTCTCATGTCTGGTTGTGAGCTTGTCAGTTTGTGTAAAGTGGTGGGTGGATAGTGAAACAGTGTCATGGCTTGATATATATACCGGTAACTTTTAAAGCAGCATCATTCTTCTGCTCTTCGATATGTGTGGTTATGACTGGAAACCAGTCTTCCTGTGGTTGCTATTGGTTACCTCCTGGTTAGTTTCTTTCTTTTTCCAAAACATCCGTACAAATAGAGCCTTTTTGTCTCTTAATGTCCAAGGCTGGCACGGTTAACTTTAAGACTTTATAATTTCTGACTTAGTTGAAACCTTAGTCCAGTCAGACAACTCACATTTGAAATGTTTATTCCAGCAGTACATCATAGTCAGATTTTGCCGTCTAGGCTCCGACCTCATCATTCCCCGCAGATATGTTTACATAGAGATATTGGGGAGTAATGAGCAAATACCTTAACCTCTACCCGGAGCCTACAGGTGGATGATGGGTTGGTGGTGGGGCTTACAGAGCAGCTATACGGACACAGGGCAGCAGCGGCATTGACAGAACAGAGGGAGCGCTGGGAAATTGTTCAGTTTAAAAAGACCGCCAGATTGGAAGGGTGCGCTTGGTTAGTGATTATGGAGTGAGGCATGTAATGTTTGCATGTCTGCATAGCAGTGCAGCTATAGTGCCTGAACTAGCTCACAGGCTTTGCTCCATTTGTCCTTAGACACCACTGCTATATCTCACTCACTCCACCACTATGTAAATCTACACAGGGTCTGTGTCCAAAGGGCAAGGTCAAAGGATGATGTTGTCAAAAGAAGGGAAAATGAAGCAACTAAACTCATCTCATTCACAGGTTGTAAATTGTTGATGACCTGTGAAGTGTGTAGGAGACTATGGTGCCCGAGAAAAAAAGCTAAAGGCCCTATCTACAGCCATTGTTTGGTTTGTCCATGCTGGGCTACTGTAGAAACATGTCGGTTTAACACTGACTCCACGGAAGGCATCCTCCTCAATGTTACACACTGCACCTTTTAATCTATACAAATTATATTTATATAACCCCAAATCCCAAACCACAATTTGCCTCAAGTGGCTTTACAATCATTACAACATTCAACACCATCTATCCCTAGACAGTTGATTTGGGTGTGGAAAAATTGTGAAAAGATGTGCTATTCCATCAGAGTCTTCATTGAAAGATAATGATATTAGACTCAACAATAGAAACTTAATTTAGCTAAATAGTTTAACTGGAAATGACTGATAACACAATAAAGGAAATCTTTAGGAGAATCTTACTTTCACACTTGCTGTCAACGTCATTATGTGGCTGATGTGACATTAAAATTCGGACGTCCACTTTCGTAACATCCATAGAGATACAGTCCAGAGTCAGATAAATCCACATGTTTGATCCTGAGAAAGACAGTGGAGATGTTGGATGTCATTTCATATTTTCCTTTTCGAAATCCATCGCAGTGTTTAACTTCGTCATTGATCATAACAGTGATACAGCTGGCCTTGGTTCTGTTGACCAGTTTGACCCAGAATGTCACAGAGTCATATTTGGACATGTTGGTACTCAGCAGTGTGACTGTGTCACCAACCTGAGCCTCCACAGTCTGAGACTCAGAACCTGAGACAGAGATCCAGCCTGAAACACACAAGATTTACTTTCAATGAGACAAAAAGAACATGAACAATAACTCTTACATAACTCAATACTTTCAGTCCTGGTTAGTTAGAGCTACCAAAGTTATAAATGTAATTCAATGCCAGTACTCACTGAAGCTGCAGAGACTTAAAGCTGTTATCAAGGTAAAGTTCTTCATGGTGAGTGTGACTGAAGCTCTGCAATGTCCACAATGAACTGTGCTTCAGTAAGGCTGCTTTCTACATAAAGAGGCGGGCTGTTTGTAGTTGCTTATCCTGTTCCTCAAACTGACCACATACACGCTTTCAGGAAAAGAAGTGTTGATGCAGAATGTTAGCTGTTCAAAGTTATACTTCAGACCATGTTATTTGATAATACTTTAACAACAGACATTGATATTATGTAATGACACATCCAATCCTTTGTGTAAAATTCCTGAAATAAAAGATCCTGACTATAGAATCGATCAATCACCAGCTCAGCTCAGGTTGCCTGTTCATTTAAAATGCTTAAAATATTTTCTCTATGACATCTGCTGAAAAAAGGACCTAACACAGCAAGGGGGATAAATAACACTCCAAATTTTAAGCAAAATGTTGACAGTGGAAAAACTGGCATTGTCTTTTTCAAAGGGTTCCCTTGACCTCTGACCTCAAGATTTTTGAATTGAAATGGCTTGTATGGGTCTCCCTTTTGCAGCCTTTCCCACTTTTTGCAAATCCCAGACAGTTTTCTTGTATGTGGTATAAATGTTTAAATGTGTAATTTTAACACAGAGAAAATGTAATGTGGAAAATCTGCCAAAATAATATTAAGACAAATTCATCCTGATTTCCTTCAAAGGCAGTGATGAGCCACATGATGACGTGGACAGCAAGTGTAAAAGTAAGATTTTCACAACCCTTATTTGACAGGAAGAGAGAGCACAGTGTGGTCTGAGCATAACTGAAAACCTAGAGACCTGTTAGATCAAAGCTTTCTAATAAAAGAATCTTAAAGGGAGTAGTTTCTTAAAGACTGTTACTGTTCCCCTTAAGATTTCAGACCTGGTTGATTTGTCGACACCTAGGGACTGGTGGTAGGTCTGAAAGCAAATAAGGTTTAATACTACAGCTCCCAGAATTCAACAAAACAAAGGATTGTCGTTTTAATAAAGAAGTCTGTTAATAATTGGTCTTTTTCGATCATTCTGTGAGCAACGTGATCTTATCTAATGTTGCACACGGCAGTGCAAACAGCAGGGTCCAGTGAAAGGAGTGGGTTACTGTGCTGAGAAGTTGGAGGTGTGCAGCTCATCATCTAAATGTTTACTGTAACTGCTCCTTCCTGTTTCAGTACTCCCTCCAAAAATTGATTTGCTTCCTAAAAATGTGAAAATTTAGTATTATCTTCTTTTGTAGGTGCTTTTTTGATGGACAATGGTGGCTTTGGGACTACTTCAGAATAAAAGTCAACTTGTGTTTCTCCAATGAAATGCTTTTAATGTGAAGGTGCAGTATCAGGAAATGTTTGGTTTGGATTAGGGGTAACATAACACAACATTTTTCTCCCAGGAATGTCACCACTGACACCCAGTTTGTAATACTGCAAGTGCAAGGACTTCCATCAGTGGGCCTTAAGTTCAGTCGCCATTATGTTACCTCATTTGGCAATGAATATCAACTGAACAGAAGATGCCGGAAGCAGTGTGACACTTACACAGCCTCATCAAATACAACTGAAACACTTTGCTCCAGGCTGCACGTCATTAAGACACAACGAAACAACAGCAGGTTTAACTCCCACACAGCATATATCTACTTTGATAACAGGCAGTAATAATAAGAATAGACAGACTCCAAATCAAAACCTTTATTTAAACATGACATGACACAGGATTTTGAATACAGTTATCACCTCAATGTGTTGATTTACAGAACAGATAATGGCAGTGAGCTGCTGACTAATGATTTTGCGATGCATGTGTGAGGATGAAGAGTAATACGTTTATATGCATAAGCCTGAAAATGCCACAGTGTATTCCTTCATTACTCCTTTATACAGTATAGACAGTGTGGTAGTTCTCCATGCTGTTTTTATGACCTTGTGAGGGAAGGGGTTGCAGAGAGGTGAACGTCAGTCTTCCTGTGGTTCATGCCTCACCAATGATACAGACACTTCTAATAGTCAGACATTTTGTTTTTGATTCAGACTTTTATCATCCACACAGATGGACTGTATTTTTTCAAAGCCTAATCACAAATGTCTTGCTAAGGCTTTGGGAAGTCAGCCCATATTCACTGCTTCGATTATTAGTTGGGATGTAACGATACACTCAACTCACGATTCAATATGGTTCACGATTTTTTGTTCACGATACGATTTTCTCATGATTTTTTTTTTTTTATTAAAATGAGCTACAGACAAATTATGACCAAATAAAATGATTTTTTATTTGTAGGAAAAAAATCTTAGAGGTGCTTTCTTTACAGAAACTCTTTAAAACAGTTTGTGTCCTCTTATAAAAAGTGCAACTTACATGGTCATCTTAAACAACAAAATACATGAAAAATATCTCCTTTCTTTAGAAACAATCTCACAAGTAAACTGGTGTTAACTGGTTAAATTCAATATATTAAATAACAAAAGAATATAAAATCTTGACCAAAAAAAAGAGGTGCTTTCTTTACAGAAACACTGTTAAACACTGTTTTTGTGTCTTACAGCCAAAAGCCCTCATTTTCAACGACGGAAAATGGCCTCAAATCTTTTCCAATAAAATAACCAAATGCTCTCGTTTTTTTGTGTATATGGTGGAATCCAAAATGCCGCCACACAGGTGATTTAAAATCGCTCGGTGCATCCTCTATTTCAAAGTTGTTGCCTACCGTCAACCATGTCTTCCCTCGTTCTGTGCCCCGTACCTACGTAGTGACGTAAGTCATGTGACTTGACGTCTGACGTTGAACAAATGAATCACCAACCAGTGACTTTTTTTTCAAGATAACGTAACCTATTTCTAAAAAAAAAGAACGTATCTTACTTCTCTCGCATCCGCGATTCATTTTTTCTGTCAACCGGTGCGAATCGTCACGCATTTGTACCGATTTTTAAACGTGTCACGATGCATCGTTACATCCCTAATTATTAGAAAACTTTGATCTAACGGCCCTCATGGTTTTCACCTCAGTTATTCTCTGACCACACTGTACTGTCTCTGCCTGACAAACAAGTGATGTGTACCTCACTCGCTCCTCCACCGCTGACGACCTCCATCACACTCACTATAACAGATTGGACAAATATCAATGTCCTTACTGGCTCCTCCTCCTAAAACATCAGTCCTTTATGTTTCTGCTAAGCACTGACAAGAAATGAAAAATAAATGAAATGTTGAGAATTGAAGCATGAAACTGCTTGCAAATGAATGAAGATCAGATCATTGCTGCAATATTCACGTGTGGTTATTGCTGTTAGGAACAAGGCATTCAACAGCTCTAAAGCACATTCATATGATACAGCATCAGTTCCAGTTGCCTCCTCAGTCTATCTGGTGGCAGCATAAATAACATTTGGCTCCGGCTGTCTTCTTTTTGCCTTCGGTCGAAATGCCACTGCTGCGTAGTTCAGGTCAGAGTCTGCATTCTGTGAAAAGAGTATTTACAGTCTGAATGTGGTTGATTGACATGATTTTAATTCATCCAATATAGCCAGATGGATACTGGACTTATGAGGCTGATACCAATATTGACATTTGGTCAATATTCATTTCTAAAAATGTACGATTGTGAGACTTTGCAAAACCGTACACGTCAAGAACATCCTTAATCCCTAATAAACACTTACTGAAATATTCCAAACCCAGGACTACATAGCTATACATACTATATTATGTATATTATGAACTAGAAAACATTGCTGGGGAGAGGGACGTCTGGAACCCCCTACTTAATCTGCTGCCACTGCAACACGACCCCGGTTAAACAGATGAAAATGGATGGATGAATGGACTATATTATGTAACATACTTTGTATAATGTATCACTTTACTTGAAGGGGCACAAGATATAGTATCTCCCAATCAGTTCTTTAGAAAATCATCACTATCTACTATATAGTCCTCTATTTGGAGTTATTCACTAACTACTTCTTAACAATTCATTAATTATCAGGTCTTTCCTCACTCGTTCCTTAGTAACTACATACAATGTTGTGTACCATGTTGTAAAGTGTGACCCATACATTCCTGATAAGATGCCCTTTAAAAATAAACTTGTTAGTGCTCTCTAATGGACAAACTATGAAATCGTGGCACTGTTTGAACTGTACCTCAAACATCATTTTGTTTGTATTTCTGTACTGCATTTTCTTGTTACTTATTCAATACAAATATGCAGTTATATATATGAATACACCAATATGTCACGGACAAGTTAATGTTAGCCGAGTCAATATAGCTCTAGCTGTTTTTCGTCTGGCTCTATCAAACAGTATATATGAGTAAATGTTTAAAATGGATTCACCTCTCTTTGCTCTGGATTCTGTTCTTCTTTATCAGCTAAGTGACAGAAACAAAACATCTGGTCAGTTCATTGATCATTGTCTTTGGTAAACCAGGAGTTTAGCATTTTTCAATCATATTGACACAACTTTAAACAACAAGAAATATATGTAAGATAGAGACAGTAGCACTGACAAAAAGTACCTGTCTGAAGTTTCCTGTTTTTGACGACCAGACCAATGATGACCATTACAAGGACAACAGTCAGACTGCCCAGGACGACAATCACCAGCTTTGCTATTCCATCAGACTCTTCTATTCCATCAGACTGTTCTACAAAAATATCATTAAGTTAGATGCTATTTCCCCTTTAGAGACTTGAGACGAGGCTAAAACTTTTTCACCTTCAAACATTTGATAATCTGCACAATGAAAGAAATCTTTAGGAGAATCTTAATTTTACACTTTCTGTCCACGTCATCATGTGGCTCACCGCTGCCTCCTAAAGAAATAAGGATACCTTTAGTCTTGATATTATTTTGGCAGATTTTCCTCATAATGACAGTTTGTCAGTCTTTAAATTGTCACTATGTTGCCTGTGTTGTTAGAAGACCATTTTGAAAAAATGAACTAAGAATGGGTACCAGAAGAAAGATTTCAAAATGACCTTACCTTTAACATGTAAATGTATCACATTGAAATTCAGACGTCCACTTTGGTAAAATCCATAGAGATACAGTCCAGAGTCAGATAAATCCACATGTTTGATCTTGAGAAAGACAGTGGAGATGTTGGATGTCATTTCATATTTTCCTTCTCGAAATCCGTCGCAGTGTTTAACTTCGTCATTGATCATAACAGTGATACAGCTGGCCTTTGTACCGTTGACCAGTTTGAGCCAGGATGTCCGAGTGCTGTGTTTGGACATGTTGGTACTCAGCAGTGTGACTTCTTCACCAACCTGAGCCTCCACAGTCTGAGACTCAGAACCTGAGACAGAGATCCAGCCTGAAACACACAAGATTTACTTTCAATGAGACAAAAAGAACATGAACAATAACTCTTACATAACTCAATACTTTCAGTCCTGGTTAGTTAGAGCTACCAAAGTTATAAATGTAATTCAATGCCAGTACTCACTGAAGCTGCAGAGACTTAAAGCTGTTATCAAGGTAAAGTTCTTCATGGTGAGTGTGACTGAAGCTCTGCAATGTCATCAATGAACTGTGCTTCAGTAAGGCTGCTTTCTACATGAAGAGGCGGGCTGTTTGTAGTTGCTTATCTTGTTACTCAAACTGACCACATACACGCTTTCAGGAAAAGAAGTGCTGATGCAGAATGTTAGCTGTTCTAAGTTATACTTCAGACCATGTTATTTGACACTTTAATAACAGACATTGATATTATGTAATGACACATCAAATCCTTTGGTAAGATTCCTGAAATAAAAGATCCTGATCATAGAATAGATCAATCATCAGCTCAGCTCAGGTTGCCTGTTCATTTATAATGCTTAAAATATTTTCTAGGATGACCTCTGCTAAAGAAGCACTCATACAGACGCTATAAGTTGTCCTACAGTTGTGTAGACCTTTTTGCTCAGGCAGGATCTTTTTGTTTTAGTACAGAGGTGGTCTGCACAGGCTGATTTCAGAGTTTCAGTTACTCCCCATTTTCTTTACGTCTTCCACTCTGCACTCTTGTAGAAGCTGTAGCTGACTTTAGTTTAAAGCTTGAGTGAAGACACTCTTATCATATGAACCTAGATGACCTAACACACCCACTGGTATCAACCATGTCATAGTTATGGTAAATGGTAAAAGGACTGTACTCAGTGACGGCTGGTGGAGATTTTGGGTGGGTGGGCTAACAAATGCATTACACTCATCAATACGCCACACAGCAGCAACAGTAGCAACTGTAGCATCAAGTTACAGCAACAACATTGTATATTTTGTTATAGTAAGTGCTCTACGGCAACACTGGGGAGACAAACCCAAAAGAATGACCTGATGCAAAAATCTCTCTCTCTCTCTCTCTCTCTCTCTCTCTCTCTCTCTCTCTCTCTCTCTCTCCTCTGTACACATCAGCACATGCCAATTGCACTACAACATTATAGAAAAGTACCAGCAACAATTTGCAACACAATAAACCAGAAATAAATCTATAAAACCAAAGCAAAAATAATTATTTGTAGAAGAGAGTTGTTTCAGAGCTTGGGCATACCTTATTTAAAACGCCGCTCACATCGACGGCCTTTCTGTGATGCAAACAGGTTAATCACCATGTCAAACTCCACACTGCTGTACCTCACCATCAGCTCACCTTTCAGTTTCTCCATGCAGATCATTGGGTAATGTTCACATGCAAAGACAACAAGTGCCTGACTTTCTCAAAGCGCACTGTGCAGCTACTGAGACATTATCAGAGCGCCGCATCCTGCGCGGCATTACAACGGCTGCAACTGTGTCCGCATCTGGATGTGGCTGGTTGTCATCTGTGGTCAGCAGTTCAGATATGAAGCACAAAAAATTCTCCAGGCCCTGTTTCGTTTTGACAGAATCTGTGGTCTTAGACGTGTACTTCGCAACCTGTGTGTTTGACAGGTGATCGGCTGATTGACTGTCTAAAAAAGAGAACTGGTCGCTGCTGGAGTGAAGTGGGAGAATAATCGGACCCCCGCAGGGCGAGCTCATTTCAATTCAATTCAATTTTATTTGTATAGCGCCAATTCATAACAGAAGTTATCTCAGGACACTTTTCAAATAGAGCAGGTCTAGACCGAACTCTTTATAACATTAATTACAGAGACCCAACAGTACCACCATGAGCAAGCACTTGGCGACAAGGGCAAGGAAAAACTGCCTGTTAAAAGGCAGAAACCTAGGACAGATCCTCCGGCTCTAGGTGGGTGGTCGTCTGTCTCGACCAGTTGGGGTGAGTGAGAGACAGACAGACAGACAGACAGACAGACAGGTGCACAGCAACAACAGTATTGGTAATGGCAATCTAGCAGGACCATGGCAGGAGGCTCCACCAGGATCGATAAGAACCTGCGAGACGAGAAAGCACAAGAACTCTGGGGAAGAAGTGAAGTTAGTAACATGCATTAATGGAACATGAATGAGTGCAGAAAGAGAGAGGAAGAGAGGAGCTCAGTGCACCATGGGAAATCCCCCAATAGTCTAGGCCTATAGCAGCATAACTAAGGGATGGTTCAGGACTCACCTGATCCAGCCCTAACTATAAGCTTTATCAAAGAGGAATGTCTTAAGCCTACTCTTGAATGTGGAGAGGGTGTCTGCCTCCCGAACCACAACTGGAAGCTGGTTCCACAGGAGAGGAGCTTGGTAACTGAAGGCTCTGGCTCCTGTTCTACTTTTAGAGACTATAGGAACCACAAGTAGCCCAGCATTCAGAGAACGTAGTGTTCTAGAGGGGTAATAGGGTACTATGAGCTCTTTAAGATATGAAGGGGCCTGACCATAAAGAGCTTTATAGGTGAGGAGGAGGATTTTAAATTCTATTCTATATTTTACGGGGAGCCAATGCAGAGAAGCTAGTACAGGAGAGATGTGATCTCTTTTTCTAGTTCCTGTCAGTACTCGTGCTGCAGCGTTCTGAATTAATTGGAGCGTTTTAATGGATTTATTGGGGGCAACCTGATAATAAAGAGTTGCAGTAATCCAGCCTTGAAGTAACAAATGCATGGATTAGTTTTTCTGCATCTGTCTGTGATAGGATGTGTCTAATTTTTGTAATATTACGTAAATGAAAGAAGGCAGTCCTAGAGGTCTGCTTCATGTGGGAATTAAATGAAAAGTCCTGATCAAAGATAACTCCAAGATTCCTGACAGTGGTGCTAGAGGCCAACTATATAGGTAACTATATCTTTAGACAGTGAGTCTCTAAGGTTTTTGGGGCCAAGAACAAGAATTTCGTTTTTTACATCAGAAAAAAACGAAATTCTTGAACTTGGCCCCATAAATCTCATGTCCCCCGCAAAATGTAATACAGTCCACAGTCCGTGATAGTGAATGCCTGTTTTTCTTTACCAGCTCGTTGTGTCTCTGTACAGCGATGCAGTGACTCTCATTAAGCTGACAGGCGATGTTCACTTTACCCAGCAATGACAGCTTTACGCTATTTCTGATGTGGCTCGTGCTGCATTCATGTTTCCTAATTTTGTCGGATAAATGTTTTAAATCCACAATTCCTTGTTGGGTCCAAGCAGTGTCTCCTCCAGAAAACAAACATGGGAAACAGAAAAGTTAATTCCAAGCTACACTTGTCGTTAACCAGTCCATTAGCTGAAACCACGTAACACAAAATTACGATTTTGTCGTTTGTTCTTTTGTCTTATTTGAACATCATTTTGATGATGTGTCCCCAATCTCTGTACTTCCAATGTTTCCTCCAAAGACTTTAAAGAAAATTGATTAGAAAGTAAATAATCCACCTCGTTCATATTCATGCTAACGCCTGCCATACTACGAACTAGCCTCACTGTACTGTAGCTACTGCGCTGTGATTGGGCGAAGGTCACTGTACTGTAGCTACTGCGCTGTGATTGGTCGAAGGTCACTGTACTGTACCTACTGCGCTGCGATTGGTCGACAGGCTGAATGAATTTAGCCCAAATGGGGGCGTGTCACGACACCTGTCAATCACAATCGAATGGAAGCTTATGCTACTGTGCTTGGTCTGAATACATTTAGCCCATTCACAGGAAAAAACCCAAGATATATATCCTGGGTTTTTTCTGTCACTTTTTGGTGCTGTTGCTGCTCTAGGTTCTACCAAAATTCAAAACAATATGTTCTAATGTTTTTAATAATGTTTTAATGTCTTTACTGTAAAAGATGGGGGGGCTTTGCTCTGTTAGCCCATATATACCAGCCGTCCCTGCTCATTGATATTATGTAATGACATTTCTTTTATTAAAGCAGTGTTTGTCTGTAGTAATTAATAGTGATTAAATAGGATAGACATGGTGTGTGAAGTTGCCACTACTCAATCAGAATTGCTTGTTAGATGAGCGAACAGCCTCTGAAACCCCCTCCCCCTACAGGTTTCTGACGTCAGATGGAGGGGATGCGTCCAACCATTTCTGTAACTTTCTGAAACCGAAGATCGGACATTCACACCCAGGTCAGGTTCTGATTGGTCAGCTGGGTGGAGGTGAGAAAGGAACCCGGCTTCAAACTTCTCCTTCTCTCTTTTTTCATTGTGCACACAACTCTTTCTGTCACCTAATGTGTGAACAACTGACAGCACTATGAATGTCTTCTAGAGACTGCCTGGAAATGTGCTCCTTTAGCCACACATTGACACTGTATATATACAATATACAATATACTATATACACACACACACACACACATTCAGGCATGTACCACATTGACATCGCAGTTAAAATATCCAGTTCCACACTATTCACTGCTTCATTTCAGACTTTATTTGCATTGATCGAACAGACCCTCGTGGTTTCCACCTCAGTTGAGCTCAGACCACACTGTGTGTGTACCTCACTCACTCCTCCACTGCTGCAGGCTTCCATCTATCTATTGTCAATCTGGACAGTCAGCAAAGTCAGATAAAATTAGCAAGTCATGAGAGTAAAAGTCAAATGTTATTTGATTTTCTTCTCAATAAGAAAATGTTAACTCCTCCCACCCAACCACAAAAGAACACAGTAGCAGATTAATATGATAAAGCATCAGTTCCTCTGAACCACTCTGAGTCTATCTGCTGGCAGCATAAATAACACGAGTCTCCACTTGTCTCTCTGACTCAGGCCTCCTGTTTCTTATTGTTGTTAAATAGAAACTCAGGGCTGCATCCTTCAGGTCATCAGAGTCCAGATTCTGTAAAGAGTACACACAGTTAACACAAGGCAAACAGCTGAGTGTGTGAGAAAAACTACATTTATGATGCTACCATTTTATTCTTTTTTTGGCTTTATTGATAGAGACAGCTGTAAGTAGACAGGAAAGGTGAGTGGAGAGAGAGGGGATTACATGCAGGAAAGGGCCACAGGTCAGATTCGAACCCGGGCCGCTGCAGAAATTCTGTGTATGGGTCGCCAGCTCTAGTGACTGAGCTAACTGGGCACCTGATGCTACCATCTTTAACATAATGAAAACATTTATCATATACAACAGTAAACAATAAAAGGTGATTCACCTCACGCTGTTGTGGTCTCTGTTCCTCATTGGCAGCTGAATGACAGAGACAATACATCGAATCAGTTAACTTCAAGCTATTTTGTAGTTTTTCGTCATACTGACACATATTTATGAAGAATTAATAAAAACAATCAAACAAAAATAAGAGTACCTGTCTGAAGTTTCCTGTATTTGACAACCAGACAAGTGGCAAGGACAACAGTCAGACTGCCCAGGACGACAATCATCAGCTTTGCTATTCCATCAAACTCTTCTACAAGAAAGAGCACTAAGTTAGACTCTATTTCCCCTTTAGAGACTTGAGACCAGGCTAAAGTTACAATGGACCAAACTGAATTTAGTTAAAGTGTTTCACCTTCAAACATTTGATAATCTGCACAATTAAAGAAATCTCTCATCGCTGCCTTCGAAAGAAATCAATGTAATCCATGTTTCAATATAACTAGAAAAAGACATAATGGATTAATGGGAACCAAGAGACAGACTTTACTATAATCTTACCTTTAATGTTTAAATGTATTACAGTGAAACTTGGACGCCCGTCTGTGTAAAATCCACAGAAATACAGTCCAGAGTCAGACAAATCCACTTGTTTGATTTTGAGAAAGAGAGTGGAGATGTTGGATCTCATTTCAAATTTTCCACTCTGATATCCATCACAGAATGAAGCATTGCTTTTGGAATTGAACATAACAGAGATGCAGCTCATCTTGGTTCTGTTGATCAGACTGAACCAGAATGTCATAGATTCATATTTGGAAATGTTGGAGCACAGCAGTGTGACATCTTGACCAGGCTGAGCCTCCACAGTCTGAGACTCAGAACCTGAGACAGAGATCCAGCCTGAAACACACAGCAGACAACGACAATGTTATAAAGTCATATGAAGGCAAACAACATCTCTTAATGAAGGTTATCAAGAATGTAATAAGTAAATGAGTTTAAATGTTGGCAGGTTAAACATGCAATAATAAACTGAGCAATGAAATTGAGAGTAATTCAGTACTTACTGAGGCTGCAGAGAGTCAATACTGTTATCAAGGTGAAGAAGTTCATCATCGAGCGTATGACTGAAGCTCTGCAATGTCCGTAATGAGAGAGTGCCCCAGGAGGGCGGCGCTCAGTGTAAAGAGGTGGGCTGTTTTATGTTGCTTATACTGTTGCTCAAACTGACCACATACATGCTTTCAGGAAGTGTTCAAGGAGTATGAGACAAGTTTATCAACTTTAACATGTTAATGCCTGGCAGAATTTTGGATGACATTGTTTCCCATTGATGGGAATATGTGCTGTAGTTAAAGGACCAGTGTGTAGGTTTTAGTGGCATTTAGAGATGTAATTGCAGACAGCAACCAACTGATCACAGCTCACTTCACTCTTCTTTCTAAGTAAGTAGGAGAAACTACGGTGGCCTCAAAATTTTAGAATCTGTCCAGAGCCAGTGTTTGATTTGTATGTTCAAATTTAATTGTGGTATTTATTGTTCTTTTGTGTATTGGTGATTTCTCATCACCGGTCCATTACACATATCATCGTCCAAGGCCCAGTTCCTATAATACATGTTCATGAAGGATTCATTCACCGCATTTATACACTGTAAAACTTGATAAGTTAATTCAACTCTGTTTGAGGAAACAGATTGCCCTAAATGCGTTTAGGTTTATTAACTCAAACAATTTAAGCATGAAAGATATTTGATTTGAGTAACTCAAATATTAATTGTTAAGGTAACTTGGGAAAATTAGGTTAATGTTAACAATTCCATTCAATTAATTGAATGTATCTGAATAAAGTCACTTTTAATTCATGTAATGGATTGACTGCATTTTCTGAGAGGATTAAGTTATGGTAACTTACTTCTTTGATCAAGGTGTGTTGTCAGGTTTTACAGTGTGTCTTTTTACACCCACAATCACACCTCTCTGAATTTATGTTAGATCATGCTTTAAGCCCATTCATGGTAATCCCTCAACAGTACAGATGCTTTGTCAGTCATATTCTCACAAAATAAACGGAAGAACTGGGGAGAAAGATTTTAAGATGCACAACTGAAATGCTCTCATGTCTGGTTGTGAGCTTGTCAGTTTGTGTAAAGTGGTGGGTGGATAGTGAAACAGTGTCATGGCTTGATATATACCGGTAGCTTTTAAAGCAGCATCATTCTTCTGCTCTTCGTCTTTGATATGTGTGGTTATGACTGGAAACCAGTCTTCCTGCGGTTGCTATTGGTTGCCTCCTGGTTAGTTCCTTTCTTTTTCCAAAACATCCGTACAAATAGAGCCTTTTTGTCTCTTAATGTCCAAGGCTGGCACGGTTAACTTTAAGACTTTATAATTTCTGACTTAGTTGAAACCTTAGTCCAGTCAGACAACTCACATTTGAAATGTTTATTCCAGCAGTACAGCATAGTTAGATTTTGCCGTCTAGGCTCCGACCTCATCATTCCCCGCAGATATGTTTACATTGAGATAATGGGGAGTAATGAGCAAATACCTTAACCTCTACCCGGAGCCTACAGGTGGATGCTGGGTTGGTGGTGGGGCTTACAGAGCAGCAGGCAGCTATACGGACACAGGGCAGCAGCGGCATTGACAGAGCAGAGGGAGCTCTGGGAAATTGTTCAGTTTAAATAGACCACCAGATTGGAAGGGTGCGCTTGGTTAGTGATTATGGAGTGAGGCATGTAATGTTTGCATGTCTGCATAGCAGTGCAGCTATAGTGCCTGAACTAGCTCACAGGCTTTGCTCCATTTGTCCTTAGACACCACTGCTATATCTCACTCACTCCACCACTATGTAAATCTACACAGGGTCTGTGTCCAAAGGGCAAGGTCAAAGGATGATGTTGTCAAAAGAAGGGAAAATGAAGCAACTAAACTCATCTCATTCACAAGTTGTAAATTGTTGTTGTCCTGTGAAGAGTGTATGAGACTGTGGTGCCCGAGAAAAAAAAGCTAAAGGCCCCATCTACAGCCATTGTTTGGTTTGTCCATGCTGGGCTACTGTAGAAACATGTCGGTTTAACACTGACTCCACGGAAGGCATCCTCCTCAATGTTACACACTGCACCTTTTAATCTATACAAATTATATTTATATAACCCCAAATCCCAAACCACAATTTGCCTCAAGGGGCTTTACAATCGTTACAACATTCAACACCATCTATCCCTAGACAGTTGATTTGGGTGAGGAAAAATTGTAATACAGTATGTGGTATGACTTTTTGGTCAGGGTTACATTTTACGTCTTTCTAGTTGCAGCATATATGAGGTTGAGTTTCCACTTCTTTCTTGTTTTGGGTTGGAAAATCAATGCTGCATCCTTCAGAGTCCAGATTCTGTAAATAAGAGTCAGAGGATTTTCACATATATGAGCTTCAGTGAAAAAATGCTAAGGGCTGCACACTTCCCTGCCACAACGGTTAATAATTACAACATTGGGATCCTAGCTGGACTTTTGTCAGGTCAGAATGTCTGAAAAGCTTTGAAACCACACCAATATGCATACATAAACCATGTATAGGCTGACAAGCTGAATGGTGGCAGATGTGGATTATCATTCTGACCAGGGTGATAAACATCTGAAAACAATGAACAAAGTACATAAGTACACAGATATAGTGTACATATCAATAGAAGCAGTATACATTATATCAGATACATCGACACATATATCAAAATCTACATCACCTGCCTTCAAATATACATATAAAAATATAGTGTAGAAAAATGAGAAGAAATATATTATATATTAGTTAGTATATATGCAATCTAACATTATTTTCAGATTTTTTTTTTTAAATATGTGTGTCAGGATCTAGGGAATTTAAGACTATGTATACATATACAAATATATACATATATACATTGCAAAATTGCTATCATAATGCTGCCACCATTGTATTTTAGAAAGAAATATAGTCTCATAAACTATATAAAATGATTGACTAATTAGGACTTGAAGTGGTTTAACTTGCTTGTGAACTATATATCCAGTAAATCAGTCTGATCTGCTATTAATACATTTAATCACTGAGCAGTAGGTTAACTGTGATATTGACAACAGGATGTGCAAAAGCTACATAAACACAATAGACAGCTCTCAGACAGTACCTCTTTGCCTCATTTTGACAACAAGGACAATGATGACTTTAGTGAGAACAACAGTCACACCGCTCAGGATCACACTCATCAGGCTCAGTATTTCACCAGACTCTTCTACAAGAAAGATCATTCAATTACTTGAACTGTGATCAAGTAGCATATATTGTGCCTATTTTTGAGTGAAATACTTTTTTATACTTTACTAGCTTGAAATCTAATAGAAGCACTGATTAATGACCTTTGTTGACTGATGCAATATCAGTTCACAAATTCTAACCTGCATATTAAATCCTAATGAGAGGATGGAAGAACATTTAATGTGCTACTGAAAAAAATCTCTCACATTAATTATCAGATTTTGACAGGATATTTCCTTAACAATCTATCTCTGACCACGTTGAAATAAGATACATTCTGTTTCCTTTGTGCTGGCAGCTAAAGGACACTGTACGACAATTCTTACCTTGAACCTTTAAATATGTTGCACTGACAAGTACTGAGTATCTGTTCATGTTAAATCCACAAAAATACAACCCAGAGTCAGACACATCAATGCGCTTGATTATGAGAAAGACGGTGGAGACGTTGGAGCTCATTTCAAATTTGCAGAACCTGAGACAGAGATCCAGCCTGAAACACACAGCAGAGAGATTTAGTTCTCAGCTGATAATGCAACAACAAACAGATTAAAACGACCCTAAAACATTGCTGTAGAAACTATAAACTAAACACAATTTAGCCATGGACTAACACTAAGAGAAATTCAATGCCAGTACTTACTGAAGCTGCAGAGAAATAAAGCTGGTATCATCATCAGAGTAAAGCTCATCATTGTGCGTATGATCATCTTGCTGTAATGGAGGCTAAAATCACTGAGCTCCAGGAAGGAAGTTCAAAGAGGAAGGTTCTTCCACTCACACATGTTCTTTTTTTGTCGCAGCACAAAGATTAAGATCACAGGTTGATCAACATATGACAGGTTGGCACTAACGTAGGGGGATAGATGTGAACCGATACAGTGTGCACCCACATAATGCAGTGCAAGTTGAGGTGTACAGAAAGTATTCTGATTGAAAATTGGGCCTGAGACAGAGAACAGACAACTAAGAGTATTTTTCCAGGGCCACGCCTCTCACTTTGTTGTGGACCAAACTCTACACTGAACACAGATTAAATTAACATTGATCTTCTTATTATATTCTGCAAGACAGCAAACAAAAATACAGAAAAGGGGGGAGGAACTCAGTAATTGTTGCAGTAGCATATATTCTAAGAAAGAAGCAGGCCTTTTTTTTTTAAAAGTCTTATAGAGACAATCAGGTTTTTTGCAGCCACTTATTCAGCTGGTTACAATCTACACCTTCACTGCTAGATGCCACAAAATCCTACACACTAGTCCTTTAAGTGCATTTTGATGTAATACGTATGTACTATATATACTATATATATATATATATATATATATTACCTTAGTAACATGTACTAGGGTTGTAACCCTAACCCTTTCATTCTAACTGATACACACAGTGTTTTCACTGAGATAAAAAACTATGCGTTGGCATAAAACATCATCATCCGTTGTATAGACACAAGATATAGAGGGGAGGCTGTCTGGCATCTGACACATCTTTCTAACTACCGTCATCTGAGATGATGATGTTTGTGCATCCCCACAGCATGAAAACTGGGCCAAACATTTGAATAGTAACAGTACAGCAGTTCTGTCCACACTAGATTAACTCAATATTCAAAGTCTTTTAAAGAAGATGATGATTCTGCATTATTATGCATTATTGCAATATGAAGTAACTATCACAACTGACAGTGTTCATGTTGATGTCTTTCTCTGGCAAAAGAGTGTCTTGAAGTTTGAAGGCAGATGTTGATGTAGCTTGTGAATGTAAAGTAGTTAAATAGTAGCATTACTCTGTTTGTGTAGCAGGTTGTTGGTGTTTGTGGTCATGGCTGAAGTCTTCCTGTGGTGGACACTTTGTTTATCACTCATACAGACAATGTTTTTCCCCACAGGGGGCTGATTTGACTTCAGAAGCCTTGTGACTTTCACATGAGTTGTACTCAGACCACACTGTGCTGTCTCTTCCTGTGAAATGATGTGTATCTCACTCTTCCCTCCCCCTGACAGACCATTTGACTCTCCCTAAGAGGGCGTTTAACAGTCGTCACTGTCCTTTGTGTCTCATCAAACATCAAATATGTCCTCATTACTGACACTACTGGCCAACAAAATAAGAAAGGCAAAGACTTTGGCTGAGAGAGCGACACAACTGCCCATGAATATATAAACTTTATTTCAAAATGTTTGCCATTGACCGCTTCTGTCACCCACTACCAACATGCATGTGGGTGGTGACTGGCAGCAGATTCATATGATAAAGCATCAGTTACAGTTGCAGTTTCAGTTCCTTCCTGAGTCTATCTGCTGGCAGCATGAATAACATGAGTCTCCACTTGTCTCTCTGATGTAGTCCTCCTGTTTCTTATTATCTGTGGAAGGAAACACAGAGTGTCGTAGTTCAAGTCATCTGAGCCCAGATTCTGTGAATAAAGGAACTATTTAGGCCCATATACTGTATCTACACACACACGCACACACACACACACACACACACACACACACACACACACTCTAACAATGTTTTTCAGGAACCAGCACAAAGTGTGACAAGGAGACAACATTTCAAAGCGAGCAGGTCAAATCTTGAGGTTTTCTTGCAGTCACATACTGTACACAAACACTGTTTGCACCAAAAAGGAATGACTTGAACTAAGATTATGGTTGATCATAGATAAGGGCTGTTTTTAAAAAAGGAAAACAAAGTTAGTAGTAGTTAAATGATTTGTCTATCTCTGTAGGGATCATTTCCATAGTGTTTTCAGACACTTAAAACAACGATCTGAGTCTGTGTGGATTAATGTTAGCTTACATTGTGGCAACTGCAGCACTTTTCCTGAATATTTCCACATCTCACTCTGTGAATTATCTGTGTGGAAATACTAACAAAGATGGTTTTTATCCTATCCCGTTGTTCTGCTCTGAGATGATGGTGCTCTAGTGCAACATCCAATGGCAAAATAATTTTGTATATATAACCGTTACCTATCATCCACAGTAATACTTCACCTTGTTTCTTTCAGGATGCAGTTCTTCAACGGCAACTATGTGACAAAAGATTAGTCTGATTAGTTTAGTGTCACTGACCAAATACTGTTTCACAACTTGACACAACAGGATCTTATGATATCTCATTATATCTGAGTCAGGTGCAATTTGAGATAAAAGTGGCCACAAAGGATTATTTCAGATGCATAAAAGTAACCTCACTTAATCCAGTCTATAAAGACTAACTATAAAGAAAACAAAGGGAGGGACATATGGTGTCATATCTTTATGCTTGGTGCTATAATCTATGCTGTTTGTGTCATTTTCTTAGAGGTTGAACCTAGATGCAGACCGCTGACAAGCACATAGGTGAATCATCTATTCAGTCTTTTATTGTAGATACCGGAAAGAATGGCGGGTTGATGGCTGACTCATTGCACATGATGAACAAGTGTGCAGAGAGGCAGAGCCATAGTGAGGCAGAAGACCACGCCCATACACAGACACAGACCCTGGGGGACTTTCTCATTTCCCAGTTTGTACATCCTCGATTCCTTTCCTCACCTCCTATCCTTGCACCTCAGCCCCTCCCAGTCCCAGGAATGAGAAGTGGAGTGATTTAGCAACATCAGAAGAGAATCATATGTATTTTACATTTTTATTTATTACTCATACAGACAGTGTTTATCACCACAGGGTGCTGGTGTATTCTATTACTATTGTCTCCATGTTCCTTCAAAAAGGTCTCTAATTTCATCTGAAGAAGTTAGTTTACACTGTTTGCTTTTATACTTTCCACTGAGCTTTGGCTTCAGAGGCCTCATGATTTTCACCTCAGATGTTCTCAGACCACACTGTGCTGTCGCTTCCTCCTCCCCCTCAGACCAAAACAGAAAGACAGACACTTTGACCAAGACAGGGACAGAAAGAGACATGAGTGAGAAAATACGGAATCAAAGTTTATTTCTGGACTCCTTCCAACCACTACTCACACACAAAAACACAACAGCAGATTAATGTTATAAAGCATCAGTTCCACTCAGAGCTACAGTCCCAGTTGAGTCTATCTGGTGGCAGCATACACAACATGTGGCTCCAGCTCTCTCTCTGGTGCAGGTCTGTGGTTTCTTTTTGGTTTCGCCTGGAAACGTAGAGCTGTGTAGTTCAGGTCATCTGAGTCCAGATTCTGTGAATCAGTAGTATTTAGAGTATTTAGAGTCACATACATAGTTTAAATTGGTGGATTTGTGGGTTTAATCACAAAGGAATCATTTCCACTAAAGCTAGGTCCACACAGCATGTGTAAGCATCGCTGCATTGCTCAACTGCTGCAGCTCGTACACCTGAGGTGATCACACAGACAGATTTTGGCTGCAGAGCTGCTGCTAACAGCCCTGTTTTTCTACACTGAGTGTGCCTTTGATACATACAATACAATGAGAGCCCTGTTGACATATGAATGGATCCTGTCCACAGAAATAGCTTTAATCGGAAACAGATACAGGAGGTGTTGAGTTCAGAATAACTATTTTCTTCATGTATGTGACATATTCTACGTCGGCTGTGGCGTAGTGTAAAAGCGCTTTGAGTGGTCGGAAGACTAGAACGGCGCTATCCATTTACCATTATGTCAAAGGTGTATATGGTTTGTTGTCAATATGCCTATATTTTCACTGTCTATTTTTGCTGGGAAGCACAGGTGGCTTTTTGGAAAAAAAGAAGCAAGACTTTGACTCTAGGTTTTAGGTTGATAACCTAAGATGGCAGCACGAACGGTCGCCTCAGTGTGTCGGTTGTTGGTTGTTTTGTGTGTTAATTCAGTTTTCGGCTGTGATACCCGGAGCTCTTTCACTAGAGAAGAGCTCATGAACACCAGGGGAACAATTCGCTGATCTCTTTCCCACTTTTCTTCTTTCTTCCGTGGAATTATTGGACATTGTGGTCAAAGGTGCGCTCACCTTTGCCACGCAGTGAAACGTAGGAGGAGAAGGAAACGTGCCGGTGAGCTTGTGCGTCACCGCCAGCACGGACATCGCACACCGTTACCTGGAATATTCCTCTCCAACGTGCGTTCACTGTGCAACAAAATGGACCAACTCCAGCTACTTCTGGGGAAAAACAGTGACTTTTCTTCATCCTCTCTTTTATGCTTCACAGAGACTTGGCTATGTGGATCGATACCGGACTCTGCGCTGCAGCTGGCGGGCTTCCAACTCCTCAGAGTGGATTGTGACACAGAACTCTTCGGCAAATCGAAGGGAGGAGGTATCTGTTTTTATATCAACAGTAGCTGGTGCAATGATGTGACAGTGATCCAACAGCACTGCTCTAATCTGGAATATTTCATCATAAACTGCAAACCTTTTTACTCCCCCCGTGAGTTTGTTTCATCCATTCTGGTCGGTGTTTACATTCCACCGCAGGCAAACGTGCAGGACGCACAGCGCGCTCGCCGACCAGATACTGTGTGTGGAGCGGTCTAACCCGGACTCCTTAATTATTGTCCTTGGTGACTTTAATAAAGGAAACCTCAGCCACAAACTTCCTAAATACAAAGAGTTTATTAAATGCCCGACCAGAGAGAAGAACATACTGGATCACTGTTACACTACAGTCAGCAGATCTTATCACGCCGTCCCCTGCGCCACACTGGGCCTCTCAGACCACGTCATGGTCCACCTGATTCCCTCATACAGGCAGAAATTAAAACTCTGTAAACCTGGTGTGAGGACATCAAAACAGTGGACCAGTGAAGCTATAGAGGATCTCCAGGCGTGTTTGGACTGACTGAGATGTTTTCAGGACTGCTACTGTAAGTCTGGACAAGTACACAGAGGCTGTGACGTCATATATCAGTTTCTGTGAGGACTGCTGTGTACCATCACGCACCAGGGTGAGTTATAACAATGACAAACCCTGGTTCACAGCCAAACTCAGGCAGTTACGGTTGCAGAAGGAGCAAGCGTTCAGGAGTGGGGACAGGGACAGGTTTAAGGAGTCAAAGTACAAGTTTAGCAAGGCGGTGAAAGAAGCTAAACGACAGTACTCTGAGAAACCTCAACATCAGTGACCAATAACTCTGGTTCTGTCTGGAAGGGGCTCAGACAGATAACCAACTATAAACCTAAAACCTCCCACTCCATCAACTGTGTGACTTCCCAGTTGACTCTGTGGAGACCTTCCGCTGCCTGGGTACCATAATTACCCAGGATCTCACCAAGAAGGCCCAGCAGAGGATGTACGACAATGATGGTGCACTTCTACACCGCCATCATCGAGTCCATCCTCACCTCTTCCATCACCATCTGGTACGCTGCTGCCACTGCCAAGGACAAGGGCAGACTGCAGCGAATCATTCGATCTGCTGAGAAACTGATCGGCTGCAATCTGCCATCCCTCCAGGACCTGTACGCCTCCAGGACCCTGAGGCGTGCAGGCAAGATTTTGGCTGACCCCTCCCTGCCCGGACACAAACTCTTTAAAACACTTCCCTCTGGCAGGAGGCTGCGGTCCATCTGGACCAAAACCTCACGCTACAAAAAAAGTTTCTTTCCGTCTGCAGCTGGCCTCATTAACAAGGCCCGGATCCCCCACTGACACTGACTCTTAAACCCATCCTGTAAATATGCATCACATTAATGCACTCCTGTTTTCTGCACAGTTTCTTATCTTTATTTATTTATATTTTAAAAGTACTCTATTTTTTGTGTGTGATTGTTATGTGATTTGTATATTTCTGTATGATTGTATATTTTATGCACCACTGCACCAAGACCAATTCCTCGTATGTGTAAAAACCAACCTGGCAATAAATCTGATTCTAATTCTGATTCTGATAGTGAAGTGTTGCTGCAGCCGCACCTGAGACTCGTGGGTAATGTGGCCCGAGCTTAAGATGAGCGTTAAGAATAGTTTAGCTATGTCTAATTTAAATGCTAAAAATAACTTTTAATACATGCCCATCTATTTATATGGATATCTTCTGGTTGAGCTGATGGTGCATTTACAGTTTTTCTTCAAGTGAATGAACCTTAACTGTCTGTTTAGTATGGAGATGGCAGCTGAAATTACAGTTCAAAGTATGAATTAATGGGGATTATTTCTTTGTGATAACAAAAAGCAGAGTTTGGTCGTAATGAAAATCAATAATAAATGGCATGTTGAATGTCATTACCCCATTAACTGTCCATTATGTTGAACCAATGCTACATCCATAATACACAATCTCTACATGCTGGTATGACACTAGATTTATAATGTCTTCAAATGCAGATTTTAAAAACACAACACACAGTTTGTGTAAGTTAATGGTGGGTTCACCTTGTTTCTTTCTGGCTGCGCTTCTTCTTTCACAGCTAAATGACAAAAGACAAAAGTCTGATTAGGTCATTATTACTGATCACATACTTTACTTTGGATTTGTCCGTCATGTTGACACAGCTCACTAGATGATGTGCAACAAATTATAAATGTACTGTACCCTTCTCAAGTTTCCTCATTTCATAAGCCAGAACAATGATGACTATAGTGAGGACAATAGTCTGACCACCCAGGATCACACTCAATAGGGTTGTTATTCCATCAGGCTCCTCTACTGGAAACATGGTAGAATTAGACTCTTTAATCTGTATTTTAATCAAAATGAATGTCTCTATGGTAGCTTGCACAATGAAAATAACCTTAAGAGAGAAAGGGTGAACTTTACTTTGAGTGTTACGATCCACTAGATCATCTGATTCACCATCACCTTCAAAAAACGATGATGAAATCATTTCAAATAAGTTATGCTGCTTTCATCCTGTGACAATACATTTTAGATATATTGTAAAAATGATGATATCTTTATAAAAGATACGTCTTAACTACAAACTTACCTTTAACTTTTAAACGTGTTGCAGTGGAAATGACTATGCTTCTGTTTATGTAAAATCCACAGAAATACAGTCCAGAGTCAGATAAATTCACTCGCTTGATTTGAAGAAAAACAGTGGAGACGTTGGAGCTCATTTTAAATTTTCCATTTTGAAATCCATCACAGAATGAAACGTCTTTATCAGATCCGTACATAGAGGAGATACAGCTGGGTTTGGTTCTCTTGGTCACTCTGAACCAGTCTGTCTGATTTGGACTTTTGGAAATGTTGGAGCACAGCAGTGTGACATTTTCACCAGGCTGAACCTCCACAGTCTGAGACTCAGAACCTGAGACAGAGATCCAGCCTGAAACACACAGCACAGACAACATGAGATTCACTCCTCATTTGATAAACCAACAACATACCTTTACATTTATTCAATACTAACTAATATGCAAATTAAAAAAGAATGTGTTTGCTGCTCAGAATAGTTCAACAGCAGTACTTACTGAGGCTGCAGTGAAGTAAAGCTGTTATTAAGGTGAAGCTCTTCATTGTGCGTATTACTGTGTCACAGCAAGAGCACTTTATATGAGTTGAAAGGGGCGGGGAGTTGAATAGGCCATGTAAAGAAGCTCACCTCTTTTACCACGGAAAATTTGAGACAAAATTGTGCCTCAAAGGATTTCAGATGGCATGAACTAACAATTCTTCTGCCACTCTTACAGTTTTATACAGCCATCATGGAAGACATCCTCACCTCATCTACAACAGTCTGATACAGCAGCTGAGACAGTGTAAAAATTGTAAATGGTAAATGGACCTGTACTTGTATAGCGCCTTTCTAGTCTTCCACCCACTCAAAGCACTTTTACACTACATGACGCATTCAACCTTTCACACACATTCACACAGTGATGGCAAGTCCATTGAACAGAAACTAACTTCATGCACATACACACCGATGACACAGCATCAGGAGCAATTTGGGGTTCAGTATCTTGCTCAAGGTCTTTGACTACTGCTACTTTGACATGCAGCCAAAGGAGACGGAGATCGAACCAACAACCTTCTGATAATGGATGACTCTACCTCTGATCCACAACCGGCCATCACATTATTCATCTGTATTGAAGTATGCAGGAAAACGTCATGTTGTTCCAGTCTAAAGCCAAAGTGCACAGACAGCAAACACAATAATAAATAAGTTATCTAACATGCAAGTCCCTGTGTCATGAATACATTATTAGATAATGAAATAAAAAATAATATAATAGCCAAAAACTAAAAGGATCATGGTTACAAACAGTGCTTTCATGGAAAGGGGTTTGTGTTGGGGGACTATGGAAGACTGTAGATTATGTACTCCCCAAAAACCTTCATGCCCCTCACTCTCTGCACACTGGTGTCATTGATTGTTTGTTGTATCATTGTTGTTGATACAGTCTGCCTCTACTTTGACATTAACAAACCTATCAACTGAAAACGTTGCCATCAGATCTGTACATAGAGGAGATACAGCTGGGTTTGGCTCTGTTGGTCACTCTGATCCATTCTGTCTGAGTTGGACTTGTGGAAATGTCAGAGCACACCAGGCTGAACGTCTACAGACTGAGACTCAGAACCTGAGACAGAGATCCAGCCTGAGACACACAGCACAGACAACATGAGATTTACTCATGAGCTGAATATGCAACAAAAATACTCATAAATGAGTTCAACACAAACTAATTTGCAAATTAAAAAATAAAGGTGGGTTACTGGACAAAAGAAAGATTAGAATTGTATTTTCTCCGCAGAATAATTCAATAGCAGTACTTACTGAGGCTGCAGAGAAGTATAGCTGTTATTAAGTTGAAGCTCTTCATTGTGCGTATAACCGTGTCACAGCAAGAGCACTTTATATCACTGTAAAAGGGGTGGGGAAATGAATAATTCATGCAAAGAAGCTCAATTCTCTCACCACGGAATATCTGTACCTGATGCTATCTAAAACAAAAATATGCCTCAAAGAATATCAGATGGCATCAAGTAACAATTATTCTGCCACTGTTACAGTTTTATACAGCCATCATGGAAGATAACAGTCTGATACAGCAGGTCAGACAGTATAAATCACCTCCAAGTTTGTTTTTATTCATCTGTATTCAAGTATGCCATTAGAACAATGTATTGTTCCTCTCACAATAAAAGCAAAGTTATGAATGCACATCATAACTATAATTTCAAGTAATACATTATTAGATTAGTGAACTAAAATATAATATAACATCTAAAATATGAACAAGAGCATGATTACAAACAATGCTTAAATGGAAGGGGGCAGTGTTGGAGGACTATGTAAGGCTGTTGCTGCGTACGCCCAAAAACTTTGACCCTTTACTCTCAGCACAGAGGCCCAATTGGTTTGTTTTTTTATATCATTGTTGCTGACATAGTCTGCCCCTACTATGTATTTTGGAAACCTATTGATATGACTAAAGCTGGATTTTGTTCGACAGTTAGGTGTAAACATTCTGAATAGCACTGGGCCGAGCATGTAGCCCTGAGGAGCACCAGAGGGCAGCCGGATGGAGCTAGAGATACATTTCCACTCTCTCTCTCTGTGTTGTGTCAGTTCCTCCTGTGTTGTGACAGATGGAGGTGTTGACAGAGAAAACACTGCCACTGTAATTCAATTGCATTCAGTATAGCACCAATTCATAACAGAAGTTATCTCAGGACACTTTTAAAAATAGAGCAGGTCTAGACCGTACTCCTTATAACATTATTTACAGAGACCCAACAGTTCCCACCATGAGCAAGCACTTGGCGACGGGGGCAAGGAAAAACTTCCTTTTAAGAGGCAGAAACCTCAGACAGACCCCAGCTCTTATTTTGTGCTGAGAATAATGAAGTGCCAGTACTTAATGAGGCTGCAGAGACATAAAGTGGTTACCAAGGTGAAGCTTCACATTGTACCTTTAAACAATAACCATAAATAACCAGCATGGCGTGCGAGTCCAGAAAGGCCTTAGCCAGCTGACAGAACCACGTTGTTGTGAGGCAACAGTGCTAACCACTTTATCACTGTACCGCCTGTTTTGTCCTAAAAATGGGCTTTACAGGCTCCTCCTCCATCAAACCTCATATTTTACATAACATTTTGAAATCAAAAAAAATAAAAAGAGATTGAGAACAAGAGAAAAAGAGCCATGTCAGATAAAAAATAAACGCTAGCAACAACATGTATCTTAAGGGTCCATTGTGTAACATTTAATAGAATGTATTGGCAGACAGGGAATATGATATTCACAAAAAAATTCAATTGTGTATAATCACCTGACTATAAGAATTGTTGTGTTTTCATTACTTTAGAATGAGCCTATTCTGTCCACAAACGCTACGGGTCACCTTCCATGGAGTCGGCCATGTTGAACTGCCATGTTCCTACAGGTGCCCAGAATGGACAAACCAAACATTTGACTGTAGATAGGGCCTCATGCATTTTATGTGAGTCTCCACTAACTCATTTTACCTGCTGCTTGTATTTTTGATTATATTCTTACACATCACAGCCAGACTGCCAGGAGAGAGCAGCTGGTATACTCTGCTACAGTGAAATGAATTCACTTTGCAGCATCAGAAACCTGATAGATGAGAGTTTAACCTGAGACTATGGCTGAGTGTGTTCATCTGGATGTGTTCTCTGACAAGAGTGTCTTGACGTTTGAATGCAGATGTTGATGTGGCTTGTGAAAGTAAAGTAGTTAAATAAGTCTGTGTTCTTTCCATATCCAGAAACTGGTAGTATTTACTCAAAAGCAGGTAGGTCAGTTTTAACTGTTTATTTTTGCTGCAAAGCTTTGACTTCAGAGGCCTTCTGACTTTCACAGCAGTTGTGCTCAGACCACACTGTGCTGTCTCTTCCTGTGAAGTTAAGTGATCTCACTCCTCCCTCCCCCCTGACAGACCGTTTGACTCTCCCTATGAGGGCATTTGACAGTCTTCAGTGTCCTTTGTGTCTCATCAAACGTCAAATATGTCCTCTTTCCTCTCAGTGCAAATGAAAATGAAAGCGATATGCAAATGATCAATGAATATACAGTAGGAACTTTATTATCAAACTGTTTTTTGCCTCCACACACACAGAAATACACAACAGCAGATTCATATGATAAAGCATCATTTGCACTCAGAGTTGCAGTTCCAGTTTCTTCCTGAGTCTATCTGCTGGCAGCATAAATAACATGAGTCTCCACTTGTCTCTCTGATGCAGACCTCCTGTTTCTTATTGTCTGTGGAAGGAACTTCAGCGCTGCAGAGTCCAGCTGATCAGAGCCCAGATTCTGTAGATCAGAGGATTTAGAGTCATATACTGTCGATCACACAGTGCAGCTGAGTTTCTCCAAAAATTAGTAGAACATCTGGATTTGAGGCTTGTACCACAAAGGAATCATTCAAACTGATTTGAGTATTAGCTATACTTTAGCTAAGTTTAATTTAAATGCTGAAACAGGATTTTTAAATAAGATCCCAGTTCTGATAAACGATTTAAATTAAAACAAAGAAAAACTATTTCATGATTTAAGCTAAAATTAGAGTTGAAAGTATGAATTAATAGGATCATTTCTACGTGAGGTTAAAGAGGTCTGCTGTGACTGCCTGTCTGAATTTGCTGTTTGATTCCACCTGCAGAAGCTCGGGACAAAGATCATTAACAGACTCATCATGTGTTCAAATGCAACTTTAAAACCATAACACACAGTTTGTTTAAGTTAATGGTGGGTTCACCTTGTTTCTTTCTGGCTGCGCTTCTTCCTTCACAGCTAAATGACAAAAGACAAAAGTCTGATTAGTTCATTATTACTGATCACATACTTTACTTTGGATTTGTCCGTCATGTTGCCACAGCTCACTAGATGATGTGCAACAAATTATAAATGTACTGTACCTGTCTGAAGTTTCCTGATTTTAACAGCCAGAACAATGATGACTATAGTGAGGACAGCAGTCAGACCACCCAGGATCACACTCATTAGGGTTGTCATTCCATCAGGCTCCTCTACTAAAAACATGGTAGAATTACACTCTTTAATCTGTCTTTTAATCAAAATTATTGTAACTTTCACAATTAAAATACTCTTAAGAGAGGAGGGAAGAACCTTACTTTGAGTGTTACAATCCGCTTCATCATCTGATTCACCATCAACTTAAAAAAAAAGATGAAATAATTGCAAAACGGTTTGGTTTCTTGTTTGTCTTCCTGCTGTTTTCATACGGTGATGATAAATTTGAGATATGCTGTTAATATGATGAGATAAAGGGATCTCTATTAAAGATATGTCTTTCCTGCAAACTTACCTTTAACATTTAAATGGTTTG